CAGTAAAGTGGCCGAGTTTTAAACTAAACTGAGATGAGCTGCAACATCTTCAGATGCCCTAGTAACCACCTACGGGACGATCTCGCTGGTGGGTTGTAACGACAATCCTGAATATCAAAATGAAAATCAGATATGTGCTGCTCAATGTATTTTTGGTGTTTTTCCCTTCACCTCGTCAACTCCGTAAAAGTCGACTACCGTTTTTTCGCATTCATTGAGGCTTCGTCGTAGCATAGCAACAACAAAACCTATTATGCTAAATTGAGTTGTGAATTCTAGCTCCAATTATCTCAACTAATCTAGATTTTCTGGGTCACTGTGGGCCTACTTAGCTCTTCTGAGTTTTGGTATGTGATTTGATGGGAATTTTCGTAGTGTTATACAAGGCAGTACCCACTTTCTGAGGAATACAGCAGAGAGTAAATCCTAATGGCATGGCAAAAGTTTAAAACAAACTCAACTGTTGACAATGCGTCTGAACACATTTATTTATACTTTCCGTGCTCGCTGAACCAGTAAGATTTGTCGTTTTAGCACCAAACTTTATCTTAGTGGATACCATCACAAAAACGGAGTGGTTTTTTGCGCAATAAGACCACATTACTGAAAGCCGTAGTAACTTCGGAATCTATGTCAATCGTTTATTGTCCGGGCCTTTCTTTAATTAACTACTGCTATAGTATTATATTGTCTAATAGAAGTGGATCATCCTATTGCCGAATGGAAAGAGAATGTTTGAATGTCAATAACATATTGTTGTTTGTGAACCAGTCGTTCACAGAAAGAGCGAGTCTTTTCCCCGGAGACTAACTTCCAGCCTGAACCGTTAACTCTCAACACGATCAGTAAACAAGTAGCAGACATGTAGCTTAGCAAAAGTTCACAATCCGGAATTTTTACTTTGGTCAATAATCTCAATGAAAAGATATCCAAGTTGGTCGACTCCAAAGCGTCAAAGCAAAATTGCGCGATGAGAACAGTCTATTACAAGGGCAACTGATCGGATACCTTTGAAGTGACCGCCATCCAGAGGGTAATAATAGTTGACCAATTGTAGCTGACCCCTATTTCTGCCAAACATTTTAGTCTGCACTCATAGTTTTATAACCGATTCTTACCACTTTTGGCTAGTGATTATCCAAAGGGATACAATTTCGCCATCAACCTTTGAATCCACTTGTACTCTGACTTACAAATCTTACCACGTGGACTATTCCAATGTTTGGCTAATTGCTGCTATTCCAGGACACAGCTACATAGAAATGTCGAGTGCAAGAACATATTGTAGCGAAAAGGCGTCCAATAAAGCACAATCTTTATTGTCCAATACGCCAGTTATCATGCTACACGCGCGCTCGCGTTTATGAGTCAGCATTCCAGTCCACAACACCCCCAGGTTTCCGCTCACGCGTCGTGTACACTTTTGCCCGGTTTATGTGTCTGATCGGCGCCGTCTGTCGGGGGGGGGGGTCCGCCTACCATTCTTCGTCTGTTGGTCCGATTTCGTTGAGCGATGACTCGTCCGATCGCTCGTGTTGTCCTCCGTCTATCCACAGTGGGCTTTTATCGTATTCCACGGGACTGTCGAGATATTCCTGCGAGTGTTGGAATAATCGCGCCTCTGATTTCGTCATCCATTCTATTTTGCCTGCTCTGTCTCGCCGGTTGGTCCGATCCGGTCGAGCGATGATTCATCCGTTCGCCCACGTTGTCCGCTCTCCGATCGTTGAGGGTTTTTGGACGAAACTCCCCCTCGCGTAGAGGTATTCCACCGAGTATTGGAACACTCACACCTCCGACCTGACAATCCACCACAATATTACATAATGTGTCCACACTCTACTCCAATATACCCATGAGTCTTGTTCAACTCACAGCATTCAGTCTATCAACCCACAATGAAAAGCAAAATCATTGTCTTCTTTTTTCCATATATGAACCTACTGGATATTTATAGTTTAGATAAAATAGACCAAGAACTTTTACGAACTCTAATCAAGGGTGAGCTACATAACGATAAGAAAATAAATTTAGATGGGAAAACCTTCCCTAAGTGTTGTATTGCACAATTTGTTACGCAGACTATGTAGTACTTAAGCGCAAGCGGGACAGGTTAGTTGAATGAGAAACCACTTCAGTACGCGTGTACCCACAATCTCTAAGGTCGAAGTCACCAGTTTTCTTGATATACCCATCTGATCAATCGGTCCAGGGTTAAAAATGTGTGCAACACGGCTTTACTCCGTTCCTTTTTGTACCTCAACATAACCAACCTTACCTCATTCTAAACAAAAATCGATAAAAGTGTATAACGCTGACCGTGAAACAAAAATGACGATTATTCACTAAATCTAAACTAGAAAAGGGAAACTAGTAGTGTGTTAGAAGACAACAACGACCCCGTGTCGCAGATGTTGGAAATTTGATTTTTAACCCACTAAGCTTACTCCAGGTTAACTTAATTTGTACCAGTAAATCCGAGAGTAGTTTCACTTATAATTTTGTTTATGTGAAGAGTTTACCATTACTAGAAGAACCGTTAATGAAAAGCTTCGGCTCATGAAATGAAGAGCTGCCATTTAGATCCCCCATTCAGATTGTGTTTACCCGAAGATTTCAAACAAAGACGAAGCAGGTAGTGAAGTGTCCGTATAAGAGTGAGCATCAGGGAATCATTATAAAATCCCTGAATGAACTTCACCATAGTTCTCTAAACATGAACACCATGGCGGCCTGCCTTGTGTACATTTGTCCATCTCTGAAACGTTCAATTTGTCACAGTTTATTGAAGTTTACTAGAAGTTTAGTAGGCATTCATACTTTAAAGTATCCCTGATAAGTAACGTTGTATACGCATCAATGCCGCGTGTGTACCTCACACTCGTGCTGAGCTTCAAACTGTGTTCTGACTGGTCACGCCTTCATCGACCAACAGCTCATTTGTCCACGCACGTAAGAATGAAGATACTGCTTGTAAATGGGACAACTGAGTCACGTGATCTTTATACCGCTGTAATAGCCTGTAAGGCTTAATTTTGATTGCACCCGAATAGGAATACAGCAGGTAGTCTCTGAGTTAGCTTCTTTATATACATTATTGTATTCTATTGTTTGGTAATTTCAACCGGTGTGACACTTGAACTTCACATGAAGTATCAATCAGTGGAATGAGAAAGCGGACTAGCCATGCAGAGCTAACGTTGAAGACTAACTAATCAGTAAAGATCACACCCAAAAACGAGTCTGTTTCATTTTCCTTTTACATGTACTTGTGAGTACTGTTTTTGAATCAACCGTTAACCATGTCTTAAGCCCACGTAATGAATGATCAACCGATGAATGCAAATGCACGAATAGGCAAACAGCTAAGCAACCAAACAGCGAAACTTTGTAACTTGGAAGCAGTAGTCATACAGAGTCAAAATCGATATTAGCTGCTGAAATGAGACCATTTTCAACCATTGATACGGATGGTGGAGCAGTTCTTAACTTCTCAACCTTACGTAGCAAGGCGCCCTGAGTTTTATAGCCTATCAGCCTGTAATATATGCTAATCGTTCACAGTTGCGTTAAAGAATTGACAGCGAAGTGGAATTTCCATCCATATTAAGTGTACTTGATGTAGATGTACATTTTCATTAGAAGACCGAAGGTTCATTAACTACACAACAACGAACTGTATTCACATGTGGCGTGTTAAACCTAGAAACACAGCATGGATCGGACCAACGGGCGAGACATGGTAGGCAAAATAGAATGGACAACCAGATCGGCTGCGTGATTATTCCAGCACTCAGAGGAATATCTCGACACGGTCGTGAAGTACGGTCAAAGCTCACAGTGGATAGATTGCGGACAACACGAGCGATCGGAGGAGCCATCGCTCAACGAAATCGGACCAACGGATGAAGAATGACAGGCGGAAAACTCCTCAACAGAAGGCGTCGATCACACACACAAACCGGGCAGAAGTGCACATGACATGGGAGCGGAAACCGAGGGAGTGTTGTGAATTGGAATTCTGACTCATAAACGCGAGCGCGCGTGTGGCATGGTCACTAGCGTGTAGGACAGTAAAGATTATGGTTTATTGGACGCCCTTTCGCTGCAGTATGAGCGATTTGTAGCTTCAAAGTGTAAAGGGTTGTGTGATTTGGTTGATCCTGATGCCATCTTTCTCGTTGACGACAGGCCGCCCGAAAGTCTCGATTGTTTAATCTACAGGGTAGCGCCATCTCATCAGCTTGTTATATTGCTGACGAACTGTCCATGAAGATAGCTAAATAACGTGATCCATTCGGTAATATTCATCACTTGTAGTGTACTAGTGATGTTCGGCTTTCCATTAAAGATAGAGTGCACAATACATGGATTACAGATGTGGTCTATGCGTGTGAAGTGTGGCTGCATTTAACGATGTTATTGTTGCCAATTATCTTCTATCCAATACGCATGTTGTGTAAGCATCTTGGTTGAATGATGAGCTAGTGAGTGACCAGAAACTAGGTAACGAGAATTTACGGTATACGTTGGCCGAACCATTTAATCCGTATGCTGACGGAAGGTATTTCTTATGAATGCTGATGGCTCGAAGAAAATGAACGGCGTTCATGCAAGGACACAGTCATGGCCTATCAATGTCCTGACCACTCTGTTGGGCAGGGTTCGTAGGGGCCGCCTACCAGGCGCAGAATTGTGATCATCTACATGTGAAGTTACGGTGTGTCACAGACAATGTTAACTTTCTTTCTTTATGGACTTCTAATTTTTCAACTAAAGGGTTTTATTTTGTACATTTGTAATCATTTATTAATAAATCATTGCACGAATCACTGTCAACGTCAACGGCAGCTAGGACTGAATGGTGATGAGTAAATACGGATTGCTTGCATCTATTCCTCTTCGTGTTTTAACCGTTTTGTTTAAACACATACTTAGTATTATTAATAGGTAATTTGGCAGATTTATGATTTTAGACGAGACCCGACTGGGAAAAGTCAGGGCTTCGGCTGGATTCGAACCAGCAACACAAAGAGCATGACTCAACGTGGCAAGCGCTCTACCTGCTGAGCTACAAAGCCACACCGGGAGCTCCGAAATTTCACATTTGGACTCTGTTACCCACCCGTCCCACTGTCTCATATGGAATTCATCAAATGATCCAGGGGATCGGCTGCCCCAGCAGAATTTCACAACCATCTAAAACGTACTTAGTAAATTCGCCAACATAGGCAGGACAGATCGACGCTTGCATCAGCGTATGCCGGAGCTTATTCTTAAATGGTTATCAACTGCATTCTCAAATACGAACTAAAAGGACCGCGTCCTCATCGATCGCCTAACACATCTTAGAAACCGGTCACCTAGTTGACCCTGTCAAATCGTTCAAGATATTGTTACATAATCGCAACCTGAAACTGTTAACGATTAGCAAGACAATGTTGATCATATAACATTGTGTGCACAAAAGGCACTAACGCAGTCAATCTTCTTGCCGTGGAATTGATTGCACTATTAGTGCGTGAAAGGTCAGTACTATCTGATTGGTTCGTTCAAATGTTGTTGCTATATGCAGTTTGTATAAACTTTGCTAGTTTTACATTGGCGACTGATGAGAGTAAATCGAAATATTCACATCTGGCGATATGTCTTCCTACTGTTTTGATTAACTTCACCAACATCAATTGTAAGTACCACGGAACTCCGTCTGAATGCCACCCGTCATGTGACTCATGGATTATTTTTTGTTTGTCAAACAAACCTTAACTTCGTTCTGCGATAACGGACGACATTTCTGTGAGCAAAAATGTCAAATTTTTTTCATTCATCTCCACACAGCTTCTGCGAACTTTCATTCAGATGGACTTTAGCCAAAACACACGGCCTTCAGCTGTAAGTTAGTTGGCATTCAGATCCCACCTACACGTGTTTGTCCAGTGTGATAGTTAGCAGTCAAGGTCATTATGGTTTATGTATGATAAAGAGTGTTGATTTAAGGTGGTTTGGTTATGTAATCTTTCGTGAAGTTTAAGCAGTTGCAAAATTGGTATGTTGATGTCAGCTAATGGGTAAAGGGTGCTCATGTATAACACAAGCTGCACAAGATGCTCATTCTTTAATAACAGAAAACCATTGGTTTCCACATAAACTAACTTCATGTATGTGTGTGTGTTAACGTGAAATGGGTTTCAGTTATCTTGGTGCTTCTGTTAGAGTGATGAAACCAAATGTTGCAGTTTTGTTAACAGAAAGGTAGCTTATTAAATATAACAAAGGGAACAACGAATTTGTTGAGTGACACGTGACATGCGACGCAAAACGGCCCAATAAAGCTGTGAAATCAAGAGGCCAAGACAATACTAACAGTTAATTTGTCTTCTTTAGTCAGGGCACAATACAACGAGGAAGTACAAACAAAATGTGAAAACATTTATGCCACCGACAAAAAAATCTGGCTTGCAAGACCGCTGTTGTGCCCACAACGTGGTGCCGTCACGTGACAAATTGGCATTGTCAGTGGCACACTATGAGCCATCCTGTTTAATTCGGAATAGACGACGATCCAACTTTTGACATTCCATCACTAACCACCTTAACACCATTGATAAATGGATTGTGAATAACACAACGTTATGAGCAAGTTGTAATACTCTACGTTTCAACCACCTCGGGTGGCCTTCCTCAGGAGTGTTGTAATCGAAATCACACTAACAAAGGAACAGAGGTCACGTGGTCGGTCATGCGGTTCAAGATGCATGACATTGCTACGCTGCTTACCCAGAGCAGCACGTCTTCACAGGAGTAAAGGAGAACGGACAAGAAAATGGCAAGCCAAAAAGAGTGGTAATCTTTGGAAGCTTCCCGAATCATGGTAAACAGACAGATATCGCACTCCCACTCGCAATCAGATACATAAAATGTGAGGAAGTAGGAAGAAAAAGAGAGAACACCCGAAAAAAGTTCGACGCCTGTTAGGATTAGTTAGATTGCAGTCTTAACCTAATGTTTCCCCAGAGTCGAATGGAACTACGGTCAGAATGAGTACAGCTATAAAGGCGTAGACAACAGCCACTATGCTATGTAACTCAGCGTTTATCCATTGTGGCTGTAGACCAAAACCGGATCAGGACCGGTTAGTCTCGGTTTGAATACCCCACACCAGAAATTCCAGACTTCAGTAAGACGAAATAACGGTCATCAATCTGGATCAATCCTAAACATACCTGTTCTTCGAGACAACGGTGGATCTATCGGTATGAAAGATGAAAGCCGAATGAACAGAATAACTCAGCTGAAAAGCTTCAGAAATGTAGCAAATGATAAGAATAATAAGAGGTTGTTTAAAAACATAATTCTTGTGAACCTAAGCGGCTAGATAAAACAAAGAGAAAAAACAAATGCAGATATCTTCTGGACAACAGTTCTCTGGTGACTCAAAGGAATTCAAGTATTAACCTGGTCACTTTGGCCACTAGAATATAGTCTGATCTAACATACGTGATTGATTAGGTGGTTCTGTAGATGAAAACCCTAACCTTAAGAGTTCATTCTAGCTGTAACAACTACTCTTAAATGCATGAAATTCAGCGTATCAACTATGGACAGAGGATCTCACGAGAAGTACGGACAGAATACTGGAAGCTGACATCAATGATCTAATCCAACACTCTGACTACCAGATGTAGCCCTACCCAGAGCAAGTTTTGACTGAAAAAAGATATTTACTAACTTAAAGGTGAACATTAGAAAAGGTCTTACGTTGTGGAGCTTCGTACCAATTTGTCAGCAATGAATAAAGTACGACAGATACACATACAGGACTGTTTAAGGACACATGACACACAGGTCAGTGTGACGAGGTCTTAACCCATAAGGTGTGTTTGTTGAACCGATCACGCCGCTGGTTCTTGGTAGGGGCTTCAACATGTAACGAGCTGGCTGCTAAGTGTATTCACGACGCAAGAAATCTTATGGGGCGTGCTTCGTTATTTTGGTATACAAACCCAAATAATTTGTTGGTAAGGGGAAATTACCACAACCGTAACTGAACTGAGATTAGCAGTTTGAAACGGAGAGTTTCATCACCCAAGCCTTAATCGTAGAAGGACTGTAAAATTTTCATGCTTGAATAAGAAAACTAGACGTCTGAACTCATTCAGTTGTTTATTGCAGGGGAAATACCTAGAGAACTCAAACGAGTGACCTAAGGATGATATTGATATTTTCTATCGGATGTTAACATGAATATCTCGTTCGTACTTCAAGTAGGCGAGACCAATTCACTTAGTTTCGATGCGAAACCAATTAAACTCCTCTGTTCTCCCGCGCAAAAATAGATATCCAACACAACATACTGTCAAACAGCCAGTAATAGAAAACACAATCAATGAAACCTAGCAAAAAGATACGGTTGCTAACACTGGTGAAGAAAAAATGAACTTCACTGGCGTTTAAAAACAATTAGAAGGTGGAGATCAAACATGGCAACTACGTGACTTCTGTTTCCTGCACGTTACATCAAATTACACACGGCGGTATCCCCCCTGGATCTGCCTAGGTTAACGAAGGAAGTATACCTCAATAGTTTGAGATTAAAACATTTTTCACGGACGACTGCGTACTTTAGTTACAGTCAACAGTATGAAACAGACGACTGTGGTCGCAGCTATCACCAGCTGCTGGTTTAACCTCATATGACAGATAAAATATTTCGGCAGAATATTTATCATGCATATGGCTTGAATTCCTCAGTTCATGACCTACGGAGCGTACTTTTCAAAATCACAGTCACGTGCACGATGACAAAACAACAGAGCACGGTGGCCTCTGAGTAAATTGAAACGTTTAACCTTGAAAAAGGTTGTGCAGTACAAGTTGAAGTGGCAAATGGACCAGTAAGTGTAAGGTCAATGTGCTGGTGCGTAGTCACCTGATATTTTCAGATAGGTCACTTGGCTGGTGTACTGTACAACGGTTCAGATAGAAGCATGCTTCAGTAGCATACACAGAGCGCTCTAGCATGAATAGGCGCGCGAACAATGCAGATGTATGGTCCACTAAACGACGGTACCACAACACTACTCGTACTGCAAGACCCACAGCTCACACAGAATGATGACAACAACCAAACCAGGTGATGCGCGCACGAGCGACAGAATGATTCAGACAATCGGCTGACTGGGGACGAAACGAGACACCAATTGTACAACTGATAGCAGAGCAAAGCTGAGTGAGTTGAGTCAGCATGCGAGACAACTAACCTCTGTGAACGACCACTAGGTCAATCTACTCACGCAATCTGAACACTAACCGATAATTACAAATGCAACAACTGCGGTCGTTTTGTGGTACGAAGCAATGGAATTCGTCGGCTATTGATAACTTGCCGGTTGGTCTACGTGGGAACGGACGAAGTAACTGCTCGCAATATGGTGCAAGCAACCGGAGTACCATCGAAATTAGTTCCATGATAAGACGTTCACGTTCCATATGATTTACATTCATGAGTTCGGACAGGTTCGTGATCAGACATTGTTAATCCTGTCTTCACTGACAACTACGAACGATCGTTCCTCGCAAGTGTTCTTCAAATTATTCACGATAACTCGATGTCAGTGATGTTCTATGTCGTGTACTGGGATATCAAACTTAGAAAACGAGAACAGCGGTGGTGTGATTGGCACTGATTTGTCTCAATTAACTAAAAAATCGACGACGTTTTTGTGGAGAAACAGCAGTTTTCATATTTACTAGTGGGTGACATAGGTTTTGTGTTTTGATTGACCCGTTCGTTGTTAAATCTCACGACCATGCCTTAAGCAACCCGGTCGTTTAAATCTGACGCACGTTTAAACCATTAGTTTTAATCAACACCTCTTGCAAACAAATTCGATCTAGCGGTTGTTCAACACTCGTGATTAGCTGAATTCGACCGACCACAATTCTGCCTGCAGCAGTTTGTACGTGAGTCTCGATGGACTGAACTTTGTCCAATCAGTAAACTACCTCAGTCTAATCTCACAACATTCCGAAACGACATTATGTGGTAAGGTGTTTTATCATCTAGATGAATCATTTTAAA